GAGGACGAAACAACTGTCCAGTGCTCCTTGATTTTTAGTGGTCTCTCTAACTGATGTCAGTTCCTGACGAAAAAACTTACACTTGAAGTTAATCCAAAATCCCCATAAATCTAATAGTCTTAATCTTGAAGTAGTATTCATTCACCTTTCAAATCGAGGTCGCTGGAGTGCTTTCAAACTGTTAACCGTCACAGTCTATGATACATTATTAAGCATTATCCACCGTGAATATTTGTTTAATACTGATAAACCAATGGAGCGTTAGACTTAATTACAACTAAGAGTACACGTATTTACTGTTCACGTTTATTGAAATGTGGCAAATACTGAAATGCAATCGATTATTTGCAAAACATACAGTTCCAGATAAAATTCCCCTTAGGGACTTAAAAAAACAATATTTCCACTCATATACTGTAATGTGATAAATGATTTTCAGAAATCCAATCATGAGCTTTAAAAGCACTCACTTAGATCCGAACAAGCAAACCAGCTGCTTAGAGTTTTTGAATCATATTTGTCTAGTAGTCAGGCCATAGTACTGTATGTTTCAAACTACTCATTTCAGTGAGTAGTATATATATATTTTACGGAAAAATTTCTATTAGAATAACTTCTCTATAAGTAAGTACTCAAATGTTGCTCAGTACTTACAGGAAAATGTATTCTGAGGCAAAAAATGTAGGATAGGCAATCCTATTGAGATGGTTCAGGTTTCATATCCCTTTAGCTTGTGTGAGGTGTAATTCGCTGATGATACTGAAAGATAAATAGTAACGTGTTTGACAAGCGGTCTGTCAGCTCTCCATGTCCACTGAAACTCATTATAAAACGGTCTGAATCCTATTGTCTGTCGTGCTAAGGTCATTGTTTTCACCTACTTAGATCTGTATACAAAGCTGATGGAATGAAATGCAATTTAGTCGCTAAAGTCTGCAAAAAATCTAATAAATTTGACTATGTAAACAAAGCCGTTTCGCTAGGAGTTGAACGATGTATGACACTGCGTTTTTAATTCAAGCGGTGTACATATGTATAACTGTATTTCAATCCAAAGTGTTTTTATTCCACAACTCAATAACTCATCAGGATTATTTATTATTATTTTGTTCCTTTGCATTCTAAGGGGTACATAAGGCTTCAAGCTTCAGCTCTGAAGATTTGACAGAAGTGGCTTTTAACTTTTACGGGAAGGAGTTACTAGTCTCACGCCTAACCTTTCTTCCTTACAGGGATTATTATCGGCCTAGTGAAGTTTAAGAGTAGGCGGCCCAGGAATGGAGCATCACACCACGTATTAATATTACCACGTATTATCACCACTCACTATAATCACGAGCGAATGTAGAATAAAATTATTTCGGCCATTACTGACCATATTCGAGAATCAGCTATGCAATGTTAACTTCTTCCATGCTGTGTAAAAGCTTAATATACAAAGTTCACTGAAGAGTTTTGTAATTAACTATACCCTAGATTGGTTTATTTTGATAAGCATTTAAGTCGAGTCAGTATACACAAACGTATCCTACTTTCCGCCTTATTTATATTACCTTTAATACATCATAAAAAATTGATCATTCTGCTAAAACATCTTGAAAATCAGCAATGTAGGATATATTCGCTACAATGTCTTTTAAATTCACACATTTTTAAAAATTTTTTGTTTGTTTTAATAAACTGCCATAACAAATAGGCGGAAAATTTGAAACACACATCTACAATTAGGTAAATTACTCACAGAAGTCTAAGGAACGAGTGGTACAGTATAAAATTCAATCGTCTTTTTAAAAAATAAAAAAAGTAAAATCAACATCAACTATTTATTCATTCTTTGTTTTGTCATTCAAGTTATAATAAGGTATCACATTCAGCCAGATACTATCATTTATTTACTGAATTCCTATTTTTGTGAAACTGTGGCACATCGGTCTAGACACTTGACTTCTAGTCACTGAGTCACAGGTCTGAACGTTGCTTTATCTACCGAGGCTTAAACAGCCAGAGAACACCACTAGTCCATTACTCAGTATGTGTGGTTTATTGTCAACTGAATGAAATGCCATTGGCTGTTAGATAAAATCTCATTTCACGTCTATTGTTAATATTATTGTCGGCATTATTTTATCATCATTCTTTCAACGAAGTTATTCTTTAAGCCGGATTAAATCCTTTTCATAACAGACTGATGTTTTTAAAAACTGATCTTCAAAATTATTTTCTTCTGATACCTTCAAATATTTAATATCAAGCAAATTATTAAATTTTTTTATTTTGTCAATACAGGGTATACTGTGTTATGCCGCTAATACTCACTATTGATGCTGACTGGGTTCTATCAGCCAAGTTTGCAATGTGGTCGGTAAGTTAGACGACTCATCATTTCAGCTCACTATTTAGTCACTTTTAGGTGGTTGGAGCCAACCTGCAAGAAGCCTTTTATGTGGGTTTCATGTTCTTCGGTCCTCATCAACGGAGCATATTTTCAACCTCAAAGGAATGGATATCAGCTTGGAGATTCAAACCGGTGTCAACAAGTGCTGAATCCGCAAATTTTAAAACTGAGCTATTTGAACTCATGAGAAACCTTCTGTAGGTGTGCAATGGATATATTGATTGTTCCTCTGATGTTAGTGCTGTCGGTCAAGTTTGCAGCACTGTCACCAAGCTATGACCCGTTATCGCAGCGCATATTTTGAATTAATGCTTGGTGGCTATGGTAAGCCACCTAATTTAGCAATCACATTAAAAGTAAGCAGAAACTCTAAGGGCTAGACACATATCTAGCATCCTTGCATCCTATCGACCAGTCCATAGATTGGTACTCATTTGTAAAGCTTTGACTGATAATGTGTTGCCAACAATTAGGATAAAGTACACGGTCCATGTGCATTCGGTAACTACTTTAACAACTGCGCATTCCAAAATATGCAGAGAATTATACTTTATTCTAAAATTCGTGTTTCAGTTATAAAGCAAGATAGTGAATGAATTAGAGTATTTTTGGTTGCAGGATTTCATCATGAGCTGACATTAGTTGGAGAACCATTGGAAAACCTGGGAGTACTGGACAGCTGTTTCGTCCTGGTTTGGGACTCTCCATCAGTACGCATCCACCGGGATTCGAACCCCGTATTTTTGATTGGACACTATTCAGTACCTAATGTAATGTGTCTAATCCTATCTTCGGTGCAGACTGAATTCTATAAGTCAAGCTTGCAGTGTGGCCACCATGCTAGGTGGCTCACCATTACGGTGCACTGTGAATTGTTGGTATTAGATGGTTGGAGGCAATTGGCAGAGAGCCCCGTCTACCCTAGGTTTCCTGATAGTTGACGCTCATCAGCAAGGCGTATCTGCAACCTGGAAGGAACTCATGTCCCTTCTGATATTCGAACCCGCTGACATAAGTTCCTTCGAGGTTGCAGATACGCCTTGCTTACTGGTGAGTGCCAATAGCACGAAATCTAGGTCCAAGGCTTCCTGCCGATTGCCTCCAACCATCTAATACCAACAATGTATTAAAGTATACGGCAACACTGCTAATGCTACAAATTTAAACAGGGTAAAGTAGGTGAACTGATGTTCGATAACTGTCACAAGTCAGATGACCCATAGTGGAAAATAGCAAAGCCACTGAAGGGTAAAGGCGTAAGACGAGGTAGCCAACTATCACCGGTGATATTCCTGATTGTGGTGGACTGGATCATGCGGCAAACTGTGGAAAGCGAGAAGACAGGAATGTGTTGAGCCAGCAAGAAGGTACTAGAAGATCTGGACTCCACAGAGGATTTTTGTCTAATTTCACATAAATTCGAAGACTTACAGGTAAAAATCAAGAAACTGAGAGAAGAGGAAGACAGGGAAGACAAGACTTCAGATAGGCAGAGAGATGACGGTAGTGATAAAGATAGCCAACCAACAACGAGCACTAGTCCTTATAAACGGAAAAAATCTGAAAGATGTCGCTTCCTTCATTTATCTAGAAAGCTTCGTTTCAACTACAGGTGGACTACACAGAAGGGGTGTGGAGACCAGAATCGGATGGGAAATGTTGATCTTCATCAATCTGTAAATCAGTTTGGAAGTATGTTACAGTCAGCATAAAGAATAAAATTGGGATTCTCAATACAAATGATTAATCAGTTCTTCTATACGGGTCAGAAACTTGGCGTGTTACGGAAAGCATGTCGAACAGGCCACTGCAGACCTTTGTCAATAGCTGCCTTCGTTCCATATTGAAGATCATATGGTCAACCAGAAAGAATTAGCGACAACAAACTATAGGAATAAACCAACCAAGAACCTATTAGCCTGAAAATATAGTAAAACAAATGGAGATGGATCGCACACACGCTGAGGAGACCAATTAGGGGAACCATACACGAAGGAGACCCTCGAATGGGACCCAGACGGGAAACGAAGAGTTGGGTTAGGATCTGAGTGTAACATGAAGGAGATCATGTGAGAAGGAGATGACAGCCATTGGGTAATTGTGGGACCAGCTAACTAGGACTACAGTGAACACTATGCGGTTAAGATATGCTGTTGGATCCCTATATTCCAATCAAAAGACACGTAAATAAATATAAAACAGAACGATAATCACAAATAAAAATAATAGGAAATAGTTTAAAAAGGAGTCTTTATAAGCTATAATTTAATGTCATTTTAGTTAGTGTTGACTAGGAAAGGAACCCATGACTCGAATTTCGTCCTGTTTGGGACTCGTCATCTGGATGTGAGTCAGTAATTAATAGTGTTTCCACTAAAACTCGAACCCTACAGACATCGTTTCAAACACAAAAGTATTGTGCATTAGGTTTGCCCATCTTGGACTCCACTTTTAGTCCCCATTAAAAGGAAATAACATCATGTTAATTCTTAGACATCGTTGAAGCGTCTATACAACGAGCCAACCTGTCAAAAGAGAACGAACCTCTTGGTTCAACATAATAAATAAAAGGGAAATGCAAATTAACTTAAAATCTATGACTCACTTGAAAACTGTATCGTTTATTTGTATACTTTGGTGCATTGTCATTAACATCCAATATCTTTATAGTTAATAATTCAACTGATTTTTGACTCGGTGATCCATTATCTTCACACTTTAGACTAACTCTTAACTCTGGTTGAATCTCTCTATCAATCAGTCGTAATGAACTCAACTGATAAACACTAATTTTGCCCAGATTTCTTAAATAGACTAAATTCAGTTCATCTGTTTGGCCTAATTGACATGTGAATTTACCATTGTCATCTGAATCAGCATCATAGGCAGTAATAGTCGCAATGAGTACACCAGGCGGTGTATTTTCAATCAGACGTAATTGTGATTTTGTCATATTAGTGCTTGTATTCTCATACTGTGCATTCAATTTGCCTTCTTCATGTATAAATGCGGGTGTAATCGTTATCTGTGGTGAATTATCATTTTTGTCTTTAATATTCACTATAATTCGCATGGTTGCAGATAACGGTGGTACGCCACCATCTTCAGCGACAATACCAAAGGTGTATTGAGTTAAACCGCCTGTATCATAATCCAGCGGTGTACGTACTATAATTTCACCTGATTCATGATCAATTTTAAAATCTCTTCTAGCTGTATCAGAGGCAGACAGTGAAAATCTATACGTCACGTGACCAAATTCTCCTTCATCTTTATCTTTCGCCACAGGTGTTTCCGGTAGGATGCTCCCTACCGGGATATCTTCGTCGATATTAATAATAATTTCGCATTGTTGTACTGCAGCACTTGAATTCTTACAATGTTCAAACACTGGAGTGTTATCATTTTCATCTGCAATATGCACAAATAATTTTGCATAGCCACGATTTCCACCCCCGTCGACAGCGACTACTGTCAGCTGATAGACAGGAATCTCTTCACGATCAAGTGGTCCTTTAACAACCAATTGATAAGTTGGTCCATTAGGACTAGGTGAATTGATGATATCAAAAGTAGATGTACTATTATCATTTGATAAGGCCAGCTCATACCTGACAATTGAATTTTCACCAATATCTGGATCATAGGCCAGAGGTAGGTCTAAAATTGAACCGATAGGACGATTTTCTGTTATCCATACTTCAAGCGTTGGTTGTTCTGTAGTATCTTTACTTCTTGGCCATTTCGGTGTATTATCGTTGACATCACGAATGACAATACGTAGGCTTAGTAGACGTCCATCACTGACAAAAACCACACCTGACCAAGCACATATCTCTGGCCAACCACTTTCACTGCATAATTTACGATCTGTATCCCGGTCTAACTCACGACGTACTAGCAGTCGATTTGTCTGAACTGGATCGAAATCAAAGTAAAATGTATCCTGTAAAGTGAATGTCAGCTGACTATTCTTTCCATCTTTATTGTTATTCAACTGGTGACTGGATTTGTCCACTTCAGGTTCTAGTTGAATTCTTCCAACTTCAGAGCCAATCACTGCATTCTCTTCAATTACAAATGTGACAATTATAGCACTGTTTAAGGAGGCATCAACTGTCTTGGAATGATGATAATAATAACAACAATAATAATAGCATAATAAGTATATTGTTTCAATTAAATAATTCTTTGGAAACATTTCAGAGTGTTAGTAAGCGAACATGGTGAGGTGTAATATAGTTCACACTTAGTCTTATTTTTCTGCTTTCGTGTTATGGTTTCCTGAGATCTTGAAAAAATGTATTTTTGTTTTTGTCTGTAGAGTGATCAACTTGTTTGTGAATTAAACATGAATGAATACTGAGGGAAATTTGGTGATAGCGGAATTATCTTCTTATCAAGGGAAATGCTTGTTTTTCCAAATCAGATGGAAATTTTTTTGAAATAGTGATTCAAATATTAAAGCAGCCAATCAGAATTCAGCATTTTATTCTACTCATTTTACCTGCTCAAATTTGATTGGTGGATAATAGCTGATTAGCTGGTAGATGATGGTTTGTATAAAACCGTTATTCCTAGTTACTTACTCACTTACTTACTTGCTTATTTACCCACTTACTCACGCGCTTACATACACGTTAGCTGTTAAAAGAATATTTCAGTTGCAAATTATGGCTGGTTCACTTGTAACAGTAAATCCCTCAAAACTTTAAAATTCAGAGAAAAACTGGTTCATCATCACAACTATTTTCAATAGTCTTATTATCAAAGATATATCGAATTTTTCTTGGGTAGTCATAATGTTTCTGATATGTGCAACAAATTGTCCAAATTGGTATTTGGAGAAATAATTGAACTTACACAGCTGCAAGTTGACACCAATCCTCCAACGAAAGCTGAAGTCTTGAGTGCAATCAAGCTTCTGAAAGCTGGAAAGGCAGCTGGACCAGATGGAATACCCCCTGAAGCACTGAAAGCGGACCCAGAGACGACAGCAGATATGCTAACTCCATTATTGCAAAAGGTCTGGAAGGAGGGAAAGGTGCCTGTTGACTGGAGGAAAGGTTACTTCGTGAAACTACCAAAGAAGGGCTACCTAGGACTCTGCAAGAACTGGCGAGGAATCATGCTCCTGTCGACGCCAAGTAAAATCGTGAGTCGCATCATCCTGGAGAGAATAAAGGACGCACTGGATACAGAATTACGACCAGAACAAGCTGAATTCAGGAAAGGCAAATCATGTTCTGACCAAATTGCAACTCTACGCATCATCATCGAACAAAGCATGGAATGGCAATCAAACCTCTACCTCAGCTTTATGGACTTTGAGAAGGACTTCGACAGCGTTGACCGCGAAGTAATTTGGAAACTACTCAAGTACTACGGCGCACCCCAAATATTCATCAACCTTATTCAACACCTGTACGACAACGGCACATGTCAAGTGATCCACAACGGAAAACTCAGCGAAGCGTTTCGAGTAAACACAGGAGTCAGACAAGGGTGCTTATTATCACCAATGATATTCCTAATTGTGGTGGACTGGATTATGCGTCAGACAGTGGGAAACGAGAAGACAGGGATGTCCTGGACCGACGTGAAGAACCTAGAAGACCTGGATTTCGCAGATGATTTATGTTTGATGTCACACAAAATCAAAGACTTACAAGCGAAAACCAACAAACTGGTCAAAGAAGCAGCCAGAGAAGACAGGACTCCAGGTGAACATAGACAAGAAGGAGGTTATGAAAATAACCAACCAACAACAACAACAGCAGCAACATCCAGCGCCAATCACCACCAACGGGAGGGACTTGAAAGAGGTTACTTCATTCACTTGTCTCAACTATAGGAGGAACGGACGAGGATGTCAAATCGTGAATCGGGAAGGCGAGAAACACATTCATGAACCTGAAACCAATCTGGAAATCTTCGTCACTCAACTCAGCATCAACAACAAAATTCGGATTTTCAATACAAACGTCAAGTCAGTCACTTCTTCTATACGGATCAGAAACTTGGCGGGTCACAAAGAATATTTCCAACAGCCTGTTGCAGACATTTATCAACAACTGTCTTCGTTCTGTACTGAAGATCAGATGGCCGGAAAGAATCACCAACAGGAAACTATGGGAACAAACAAAACAAGAACCAATCGCTCAACAAATATGCAGGAGAAAGTGGAGATGGATTGGACACTCGCTGAGGAGGCCGCTGGATGACATCGCGCGTCAGGCCAACGCTCGAGTGGAACTTGAAAGGGAAGCGGCGAGTGGGACGTCGAAGGGTGACATGGAGGAGATCGTGTGATGAGGAACTGGAACAGTATGGGTTAACATGGGTGCAGGTGAAAAGTACAGCAGAAGACAGAAGCAAGTGGAGGCGTGCAGTTGAATCCCTATGTTCTACTAGGAACCCGGGGGAATAATAATAATACAGTTCAGATCGCGTAAGTGGTTCGGTGGTAGAATACTGGCTTACCACACACGTAACCATGGTTCAATTTCTCACCGACGCACTTCCAAACCTGTCATAGCTGGAATTTAACTTAATAAGAAGAGAAAGTTGGGTGTGAGGCTAGCAAACTTATTTCTTAAAAACAACTCTACTGCTGCTGAGACTTCAAAGCTCAAGCTTAAGCCTTAAGTTCCATTCGGAATGCGGAAGAACGGAGAAAAACAAGCTGGATCATAAACTGTCATCAGTTTGAGAAGTGTTTAAAACAAGAAAGCACTGTCCTAGTTGAAAACTTTTCAATCAAATCCATACAGACTTTTGGACATGAAACTTGTCACAAAGTAGGTAAGACTTCTCGGAATATTTGAGACCCTAGAATTTTATGTATTTTCATGTAGAATTAGTAGAAGGTTAGCTGGAAGTAAGATAATTTTCTCTAAGGTTAGTTCATTTTTATTCCATCTGTTAAGTTAAACTTTTATAGCCATAGTCAAGGTCTGTCAAAAGTTTACCCTCTAGAACCAGTCAGACTCAGAGAATACTAGGGGAGGTCATTACACATAAATTCATGCCTGGGTTTATTGATGTGATAAATAAGTTTATTGAAGACTGGGTGAGTCTTTACTCTTGCACATGGTTAGACTAAGGGTTAAGAATAAGTACAGGGTTAATTTTATGGTAAGGTTTAGGGGAAAGTTAACTAATAGAGTCAGGAATATCAATGGATCTGAAAGTACCAAGATCTACAGTCACCTGGATAAATACATTTATTGTGTATGGTATAATTTATCTATGGATTACCTTTGAAGTTGCTGAGATACAGACCTCCAACACACAAAAGACAATTATCCAGCGTAATTCCGCCTTTGCAATGTTTTTACTATATTTTTGCATCTGCATCCTGATTGGTTGCTCAAGGTCACTGATTTCGTTGTAGTTTAACATTACCGTTGTATGTTCATCCATAGTACAGTGTTCCAGTTAAATATGTCCAACAGCCAAAGAAGACTGAACCATGGTGATGCATAATATAGATTGCCCTCTCCATCCAAGAAGATAAAGTTTAAAGACTTGACGTGCACTTTCTAGCGTCAATTCATATAGACATCTTCGGACATCTATTCAGCTGGGATTTAAAACGAAGGACCTTAGAGGATTCCTAGATATTGACATCACTTTGTTATTAAACTTACATGTGAATATAGAAATTTGCCTACCAATAAACGGGATGTCGGGAAAACAAAAGGTCAGATATCAAGTAAACCAGAGACTCACTATCAAAAAAGTAGATGGTAAATAAGAGGAAATCTCTGCGGACGACTGACTGTAAATGACCGGAAAAGACAGACTTTTCATTCCATGCAGAATTTGGCAATTTCACTTCACACTCATTGTGACTATGCCGTCAAGTAAGATAGTAAAATATTCTCAGTTAAACCATTCACCTTAGAGGACTCAACAACACTAGTTTCTTAGGTACCACTTGCTTTCTGCGTATCTGAAGTACAAAGGAGAAAAGGATTAATAAGCCGTAAATTCTAATAAACATAAGTCAACATCAAAAATTTATCAAAAGACGTCCTTTCCTTAAATCCTTTCAATAAATGTAAGTGTACGTTAAATATAATATATCAGGAATGTTTATTCTGTTCATCTACAGACATATAGTATTGGAAGCTAACCATAATAAGATGAAAGCAGTATATGGAGTAACGCCTTTTAAAATATATAAGGGACACTAAGAATGACTCATTGAGTGAGGTGAGATGTTTTTAATTAGAGGACTGAACGGCCATATGAGTTACTGAAATGCGAAAACCAGAGAGTACTGCAGGCTTCTCAGAAGCATTCACCCGAGATACTACCAGGAGTGCCCGATGACCCAACCAATAAAAAATACTAAGTCATTGGCCTATGGGTAGAATATTCCCCAGAAACACGAAAGGTAAGGGTTCGATTCCGAGCAGATACATTCCCAAACCCTGCCTAGTTTACTCGTCGATGGTAAGCTTTAAAAAGGGGGAAATTTGAGCCTGAAGCCAGGATCCCACCACCTCGACCACTAAGACAGCTATTGAGTCTTCAGATGCCTGAAGACCATTGAGAATGAAAAGGAATGGAGAAATACAGTGGCATGGGAAGAAAGCTAAACTTCTAAGTAGAGCCTATTAAGCGATAAACGAATCCAGATTAATTTAGACATGCTTATACAATTAAAATATAAGAGTAATGAACCAATACATCTTTCGACGCTGTTAGAAACTAATTTTATGTAGAGAAAAAAACGCTGATTGTTAATAACAAATTTAAATGGAAGTTAAGTGAATAGTTTCTTTTAAAAGAGAATAATGAAATCTATTTAAGAAAACTGGGGAAAATAAAATCGGGTATACAAGATTAATTTGTACTTTCTTGCATAAAAAGCTTCTTTATATTGATTTTGTCTTATGTATGGTTTTTTTCTCCCCATTATGGTTCTTATGACTCTTTAACAACAAAATGCTATTAGTTTGAAGTATTGATTTGCTTTAATAAATGTTTGCTGAGTAGTGTACGCCACCAGAGTTGTTGCTGTTCTCAATGAGTGTAAATATCTAGGACTTCATTGTGATTATACGACAAACAGATCACTGACAATAGCGGTTTTTGCTGGTGAGTGTATCCCCATCTAAGAGAAACGTAGAGTTTTAGAAATCATTTTCACCGATGTGAAGGTGTGACTACTCAGTTTCGAATGAATTA